AAGCATCACATGATGTTTAATTAAGAAATCAGAATTTTGCGGGTTATGCTCACGCTGGGGAACAAGGGGAATCTTGATCCGCTTGTCGGATTTTTCAAGTAGTCATACCTGTGTGCTTGTGACCAATGTTTTAAAAACCGGACCGTTAATTGAACCGGTGAAGTGAAAGGGTCGAGGTTCAACCGGTCGGACCGGTTCAATCTCGGTTCAATGAATTTTTCAAAAAATTATTTATATAAATATATATATGTACAAAATAAGACATGTAATGGATTAATTTAATACTTTATATGATGAAAGGTTTACTATTTTTTAATAACTTGGATTTTTTAAAAATAAATTTTTTAAATTATAAGTTAAAACAAATAAATTTCATCTCAATTTCAATTATATCTAAATCCAACCCAAAAATATCACAATATTTTGAAATTATACAAAATTCACGTCTATGAGAATTTAGATATTGTGAACTTAAATTTTAATTTACGTTTTAGAGATTGCAATTTAAAAAAGGAAGTTTGGAGTTCGAGAGAAGTCAAGAAAATCGAAAATAGAAATGTAAATTTGATAAGAAACAAAAAATGAGATAAAAGTGAGTGGTTGTAGCATTAAATAATTTGGGTTAAAAAAATAATTCTTTTTTAACTTTTTTCAATTTAATGGACAAAAACAAAATTAAAAGATGGAAGAAAACATCAATAAATTAAAAATAAAGAGGTTTGATTAAAAAGGGAGTGACAAAAAAAAAAGAGGATAGAGAGAGAGTTGAAAATTAAAAAGAAAGAGCCATGAAAGGATGAGATTTTATAAGAAAAATGGAAAAAAAAAAATATGAGTGTTTGCTTTATATAAATAAGTTATTAAAAAAAACTAATAAGATGTAATGGTACAATGGTTAATACATTGGTCTTCTATTACAAAGGTCTTGAGTTCGAATCTTGATAGCTGCATTTTGCAAAAAAAAAAAAAAAAAAAAGAGGAAGGTTGAAAACCGGTTCAACCGCAGTTTTTACGGTTCGACCGATTTTCTGGCAAAGTCAACTATGGCATTGAACCGGACCGGTGCCATGGCCGGTTCGCGGTGCAACCGGTCGAATCGGCCGGTCCGGTCCGGTTTTCAAAACATTGCTTGTGACACAGATAAAATCATTAATTATCGATTAATTCAAATTTATGTTCATGGTAATGACGTAAAGAGACCAATTGGAATCAGCCATTATAGATAATTAAACTTCACATTATTTCTTTAACAATCAAAAATTTATCTGCAAATATTCTTTTCTCTTTTAGGTGACGTGTCCATGATTCATCATTCTTGTTCATCACCTCTAACATTGAGTGATAAATTGAATTGAAGTGCAGAACATCTAAGTTCAAATTCCAAGCTGTGAAGAAAGTAAAAGAAAGGAAAAAAGAAAAAAGAGTAGGCACCACGTTGATGTTAATTTCAAATTATTTTTAGTTTGTTAATTGTTTACGGAATTCTTAAGACCTTGATGTTTTGTTTTACAAATAAATTTCATTCCAATACATAGCACAGGAATTGAGTTGCAACAAAATTATATAAACTAGAAATCAACCGGATGCATAGCACTACAAATCTACGAATGAGATTTTACCATCTTTCCTTTTAAAAAGATAGATTTAGTTATTTTGAGCATCTTAATTTGTTTTATTAAATTATTTAATTTACAATATAATTAGTTTTGAAAGAATGCAATTCTTCGAGGAAAGTCGAAATGTTCATTCCACCAGTCGTTTTGGATTGTCCCTGAATATTTCTAGAATCATAACTTGTCATCATCAACTTAAAAGAGCAAAGGAAGCAAGATTAGAATTCAATGTAGATAAACTCTTTGACTAATGTATTCACTTCTGATGTGTCTATGTACATAAAAAATTGTACATGTATGTATACAAAATTGAACTGCACTGTAACCCCAATGTTGGAACCATGCAAGCTGATTGTGGCCTAAACTAGTGGTTGAGGATGTTGAGAAGCGAAACTCTAGTTTTTAGCAATAGCCTGAAGACAATTTCAAGCATCTCTGCTAATTCTTGAATGCTCGAGTCCAAGGCCTCGAGTTCTTTTACAACGTCTTTGTTTGACTTGTTCTTGTTTATCAGATGCAACTCGATTTCTATTCGCTCCATTGCAGCAATATTGGAATGCCCTTCGGATGATGGTGTCCTGTGCTGCAATAATTTTGAGACCAAAGACCAACCCTTTGGCTGTGATCCGGCTTTGAATGGAGAAACCAAAGATAATGTGGACTCCAAGACAGATAGAGTAACTTCTTGAACTTCTTTGATCAGGTTAACCAAAGGCAGTTTTTCAGCTTCTTTGTTTACTGCTTCCAAGTTGCAGTTTTTTACTGCTTTCTTCAAATCTTTGTAGCATTTGCTGATCATTTTATTCAAGTGCTTTCTGGAGATCATATATGAGCTAACTTCATTGGCCAGATCCCCATTTCTTTTTCTCCGTAGAGATGACTCAAGTTCCTGGACAGTTTCCTTCATTTGTGAATAGATGTCTCTAACTGCCCCACAAATGTCCAACAGCATCAGAGATCCATCCAGGACATCTTCATTGGAGAGAGCTTGTTGGCTCAAAGGCAGCTGAAGCACATCATCCAGGCACTCGTACAAGTTCTTGAGGCCATCCAATTTTTGGCAGGCTAATAACTGTGAAGTTGAGGATGCTGCTTCTGAAGACTTCAATCTTTGGATATGTGCCTCAACAGTAACGAGAAGAGGGTGAGATGAAGAAGGCAAACTAATGGAACGAGCGTGACTAGAGAATTTTGGAGTTGCCATCTTTTTTCTTAATCAGAACGCTACAAATGAATGTTGAATGTAAAGTCTTCAGAAACCTGTGGAGATGTTGAAAAGAGAACTCCTATCTACTGTATATATAGGTGGTAAGAAAACAAAAGGAATCTCATCCTCTCTTTGTCTAGTTGTAATAGCTGATTAAATTTTCTGTTTTTCATTAGTTCTGTCTCATTGATGTCGGATTTCAGAAGGTGCATCCAGTATTGAGATCCCAATTTCCAGCTCTGATTCAACTGCCTAATCAATGAAGGCATCAGAAGTATTTGTGCTACGTAATTTGTTGGGAGACAATGGGAATCGTTGCCTGCTCATGGAATTTAATTAATTAGCCATGCACGGGTGTTCGGGACACTGATCAAAGCATGCTGCTCAGCCATTGATTCATGGGATCATGTCAATTACCATTTTTATTATTGCTATAATACTAAACCAAGCAATGTGCATTCATGGCCTCTACGTAGCAAGCAATTAGGAATAACTTAGCCAGTTCCTTCCTCGGGAAACAGCCGACAATTAGATCATTACTAACCCTGTCATTCAAATTATGCAATGATACTTATATTGCTTTTTTTTTTCTGGTAACACGAGCAGATGATTGACCTTACGAGATCATTGATGCATCTCGCGGTTGAACCACGTGTTGATAAAGGGCAAGATCACTTGATGTCTCAATGTTAGGAGGAAGAGGTGTGTGTTGATCTTTTTTATTTTGGGTACAAGGCATGGTGACTTGGATAATATTCTTTCTGTTTCTTATTATTTATGTATATAGCCGATTCCAAAGAGATGATTTGAGCATCTTCCCCATCAAAGGTGCTGATTTATTCTTCAGACTTCCACCCACAGCAAGAATGGCTGATTCTGTAGCAACTAGCAAAGCACCTTGGCGTGCTTGGTCAATCAGTTTGCCATCTACTTGTCAAATGATTCTGACGGCCCCAGAATGCACTCTCTTATGAAAAGATAAAAATATAGGCAGAGGAGGTCTGGGTAGGATTTCTCAGCTTGTTGAATGCTTGTGATTTAGCTAGAGACATCATATGCCTCATTATCCTTGAGAAGATTTCAAATGCCGTGATCTCATGAACATTAGTAAAATGATCTTCCATTATAAATTTAATGGTCATGTTGCAAGGACTAAGCATAACAACAAATATTATGATAGAATCTGATAGATTTGAGCAGAACCCAAGGCATACACAAGTGATTCTAAAATTACATCTGCGTAACTATAGAAAAAGGATGCAAATGGAACTGTTTGTTTATAATTTACCTTATCCAGATCATGAAAATTCAGAAACAGAGAAGGAAATTCTGCAGTTCTGTAATTCGTTAAACAATACAAATAATTTTCTTATCCTTTTTAGGAATGAGTTGGAAATCATGATTTCAGATTTACCATCAGTGTGACACTTGCAGTTTATGGTAGACAATGAATCTTGTATTTCTTCCCACGGTTTCAGGTAAAAGTAGAGATACGACTTCAGTTTCTCTGATTTCTATGAGAATAACTGAAGACAGATAAGAGAAGTATCAGAAGGCCCGCTTATTTCACGTTTTTACTCCAACTTGTCCATGGCTCTTGAACCATTACATATTTTCTGTCAACATGGATTGACTTCAAACGTGGAAGAGAATGTTTTGTACCCTTGACCAGCGAAATGTTAAGTTGCCAAATTCTTTATTTTGACAAGTTTAGTTTAAAAATCTGATGTTAGGTAGATATCATTACGGTTTCTCGTATCCATGGTTCTTTTCCTATTAGCAGACTGTATTTTATCACATTTGGATTTATATTTGGAGATTTTGACTCTTTCTGGCTCCAACATACCCACCCACAAAAGAATCTCAGATTATGGAACTTGTTTACTTTCTTTGTTTGAGGTAAAGATGAAAAAAAAAAATTTGAGAGCTAATAAAAAAATATTGAAAACCTAGAAGAGCAAGATTCATTTTTTATTAGCACTAGACTTAATTTCTTGAATGGAAGCACAAAAGTTATCCACAAACAGGCAAATGAATGAAGGAGATCAAATTAAATGAAGTGTTGCAGTAATGTATTAATTTCTGAGATGTGTGTATATATACACAATTTTGTACAAAGGCCAATGTAAACAAAATTGAGGTGCATGGTATTTTGGAAGCCATGCTGATTGTGGCCTAAACTAGTGGTTGACAATGTTGAGAAGGGAAACTCTAGATTTCAGCAAAAGCCTGAACACAATTTCAAGCACCTCTGTTAATTCTTCAATGCTTGAGTGTACTTCCTCAACCTTTCTGATTACTTCCTTGTTTGACTTCTTGTTGTTCAAGAGATCCAACTGGATTTCTATTTGCTCCATCACTGAAATATCAGTATCTTCTCTGCATGGTGCTCTCCTATGCTGTAGTAACTTGGATACCAAGGACCAAGCTCTTGGTTTTGACCCTGCCTTTGATCCAGATAGGAAAGATAGAATGGACTCCATTACGGGAAGGCTAACAAGTTGAACCTCTTTGATCAAGATAACCAAAGGGACATCTTCAGAATCTCTATTTAACACTACCAAGTTGGATTTCTTGTCTGCATTTTTCAACTCTTTGTAGCAATTGCTGGTCATCTTATTCAAGTGCTTTTTGGAGATTATATATGAGCTGACATCATTGGTCAAATTTCCACATCTTTTCCACCGTAGAGATGACTCAAGTTCCTGCACCATTTCCTTCATCTGTGAATAGATATCTCTGACTGCCCCACAAATATCCAACAGACTGAGAGATCCATCCAATACCTCTTCTTCACATTTTCCAAATCTTTCATTGGAGAGAGATTGTTGACTTGAAAGAGCTGAAGCAGATCATCCAGACACTCATACAAGTTTTGGAGGCAATCCAATCTTCGGCATGCCAATGAATGTGAAGGTAACGAAGCAGCTTCTGATGACTTCAACCTTTGCAGGAGTTCCTCAACATTCACAAGAAGTGGATGCGAAGAAGAAGGCAAGCTAATGGAACGAGTGTGGCTGGACAATTTTGGAGTTGCCATTCTTTTTCTTAATCAAAATTTTTTTATTGGGCTTTGACACTTTAAGTCTGAAGAAGCCTGTGGAGATGTTGAAAACAGAATTCATGTCCACTTGTATATATAGGTGGTAAAGGAAGCAATAGGAATCTCATCCTCAATCTGTCTAGTAGTAACGACATAATAAGTTTTCCTTTTGTCCTTAGTTATGTTTCACTGATGTCGGATCTCTGAAGGTGCATCCGACATTGAGATCTCAACTACGAATAGATTATTAATGCATCCACCATTTGTTGAAAAGCCGATTCAAAGCCCATCGTGCAGGTTGTTTAAATTTGAAAATAGAACCATCACATGCTGCCTAATCAATGAAGGCAACAGCAATATTAATTGCTGGGGGCAATAGGAATCCTTGCCTGCTAGTGGATATTTTCAATTAGGCATTAACGCGTCTGCTTGATACTGATCGAATCATGTTGCTTAGCCATTGATTCATTTGATCATGTTAATCGCCATGCTTATTGCTGCAGTACTAATGTTTGCAAGCAATTATAAAATAATGCAGCTGGTTCCTTCCTCAGGAAACAACTTTATGCTTACTAGAGTTAGCTGATTGCTAAACGGGCCATTTATAATATTCAATACTTTTTTTCTTCTTTTTCCCGGTAACACGAGCAGATGGTTTGGCCTTATGAGCTCATGGATGCATCACGAAGATAGAAGCCTATTGTCTAAATTGAACTACTGTCTGTCAAGAAATCCTTTCGCTTTTCAGATCGTAAAAGGCATTAACGAAACATGATTTGTGGTATTCGTGTTTTGTCAACTTCAAGAAATGTGATTAAGAGCAGGACCAATTGTTGTCTCAAAATAAGTAGCAGAGCTCTGAGTCAATCATTTTTAATTTGTGTAGGAGACACGTTGAGTTGGATGATAGTCTTTCTATAGCATGATTCGCGATACCGATACATATCGGCCGAGTAGTAACTAGAACGGAAAGAACCGGTACGATATCGATCCCCGAATCGCGGATATTACCATATCCGCGACGACTCGCTCTGACTCGGCCGATATTGGCCGATTCAAATTCGTGATGCATGATATCGGCCGATATATCCGAGTTCACTCACAGTTGACTCGGATATTTTTTAAAATTGTGTTTTTTTTTATATTTTCTAATTTTAGTAATTTTTTCAAAATTTTTGAAAACTTTCATGTGTTATAATCTGCGTGTCACCCGATATTCAATCGATATGCCGTGACGGATTTCGGAACAACCGAGACCGCGACGCGACCGAGACCCGCGATGGCGAACCATGTTCTGTAGTAGCAGCTGGTATTACTCGCATGATTTACTCACAATGAATGTTTCAAAAATCTATGAATGCTCTAATAAACATTTTCTTATTTCAATTTTCTGTCTTAATTTTCATATTTATTTTCTCATGTTTCTTCAAATATGTTTTAATAATTTAGTTATAGACACACTAATTTACATTCTTTAAATTATCAAATTGGAATTGAAAAAACAAAGATCTTTTTAATTATTCAATGTGTACGAGAAAAATAGAAAGACAAAAGGAAATATTTGTATTCATCTAAATATATGTTTACATGCATTTTTGTTTATGAACTAATAAAATTTTACTAACATATTTCTGATATCATGCTGATGTTATCCAATTTTTAAATCTCAATCGATCGGTCAAACTCGTTGACCTTGACCCTTGAACTTCACTGTTTCGCATCCTGGTTTTAGTTTTTTCCCTAGGATAGAGTTAGGAAAGTATAATTATGAATTCACGTTAAAACAGGAAGAGGAAAAGTGCGAATGCTCCAACCTCTTTTTTTTTTTTTTTTTTGACTTTTTCTATTAAAAGTTCCTCCAATTTTATATCTTATCTTATAAATTAACCAACTTCCATTTGGTCTTCATCAAAGAAACCTTCCCCAACTGCCCAAGACACAAGCATTCAAAGCTATGCTTGATTTTTCATTATTTATTTCCCGTTGATTATCTTGCTTTAGTCTTCGAATTTCATATAATTCAATCAAAATTTATATTGAACTCTGGTGTGAGTCATGGCGGATATTAGATCTTTTATGCACTTACTTTTAGCACCAACAGTCCTTTCCTTTACTATTTTTTGGTTTCACATTCTAGAAAAGATTGATCTCTAATTGCCGGACAGCAAAGACAAGTTTGCAATTCATATAATAACCTAGGGTTCATCTTTTACGTGATCAGAAGAGCTTTGATTGCTCTCGTTACATCTTCGGCATGAGTATTTGATTGTATACAGCTTCCAACTGCTTCAATTTTTGACTTAGTCGTCCTTGTTTGGGCAACTGTAATCACTTCATAATTTCTGTGCGTCCCTCAGGGCACTCTCAGTCTTTTCTTTTTTTTTTTTTTTTTTGTTTTCAAAAGGAATAATTTCATTTTGTATTTTCCAACTTGTACCACTTTTCCACTTTGCATCATAAATTTTAATTTTGAATACTTTGTACCCTAAATTCTGAATTTTTGACACTTTATACCCTAAACACCTTTATCCTAATTAAGTCTAATTAATAATATTATTACCAAAACTAATGAGATAAATAGCAATGCAAATTAATGACAATGTGGGGGAGGGGTAGAGAGGGGAAGGGAGGAAGGATAGGTTGGGTGTTATGGGAGGAGGGAATATAGGTAAGAGTTTCTAAATTCGAGACCCCCCCACCCCCACTTACATAAAAAAAAAATTAATAATAGTGTATTGTTTTACTATAATTGGAATCTCTTGACTCCCTTTGACAATTTTTAGCACATTATCATTGATTGTATAGTCTAAATTATTAACATTGTTAGCAAAACTCCCTTTGACCATTTTTAGCACATTATTATTGATTTGTATAGTCTAAATTATTGACATTGTTAGCAAAATTAATAAAATAAAATGGTGTAAATTGATGACAATATATCGTTTCGCTCTAGCTGCAATACCTTGACTCTTTTTCACCATTGTTTTTTAATAAATTATCATTGATTTTTAGGGTGCTCTATGCCGTTCATTTTGCTAATGTTGCCATTGATTTGATTTAAATGTGACTAATTTGAGAGTTTAAGGAATAAAGTATCCAAAATTAAGAATTTAGAGTACAAAGTGTCAGACTATTGAAGTTTAGTATGCAAAGTGAAAGTGGCATAAAATTAGAGGTGCAAAGTGGTGTTGGTCCTAATGAAAATCAACCTTTCCAAGCTCTAGCTAGTAGTCATCATTTGTGGTTTTCTTAACGTCGTTCATAAAAGTTGCAAAATTTCTCTAGCATCTTCCTATCCTCCTCTGTTGACTCATCCAGCTTTACCATCCAACATTTGTCCTCTGCTACCACATGTAATAGGTCATTAGAATCAACATGAGAAGTGACCTCAACTTTTGGTGCTCCCCTATCAAAGTTGACGACAACTAAAGGACATTTAATCAGAAACGTTGAAATAGCAAAACGCTAAGATCTGATTCTAGTTAAATGATCACAAGTTGGCAATAATTTGCTTCAATATTCTCTAAACATGTTTTTTATCACTTCTTTTTATTTTAACCACAATTTTATCACACATATATCACATTTCCAAACAAAGTGTGACAGTAATAAAAAAAAATTCTACAAATAATTTTTCGATCTGAACACAGTCAATGTTAAGATCAAGTATGAAATTGGATGAACCTTAAAAAAAAAAAACTTATTTCATGCCAGTGTCGGAGAAATCAACATTTTGCCTTTTTATGGACTCAAGCTAGATAAGTTTCTCACCTTGGAGCAGAAGGAATACCAGAAAATGCAACATTCCCAACTAGTGTCAATCCTTTGTTAATCTGCCATTGCCATTAAAAATCTGTCTGACATGAGAATAAGCCCTGATTATGCACCATACAAGGAAATCCTTGTGGCATCATATGGATTCTAATGTTCTTCACAAGTTCGAAATTAAAAGACTCCAATGTGTTTATTAGTCCGCAAAAAACACCATAGCCTAACGGATTGGGGCTTCTTTTTCTATGTCATTTTCCAATCTTCGTATAACAAAAAAGAAAAAAAAATCCACAGGATTGGCGAATTTAGGCCATTTGCATTTTTTGTATTTTGTAGAAAAATACTAGAACATTATTTTTAGGCATTCCATTGCATTTATTACCTTGATAGACATGGTAGTTTGATGGTCGTAACGTGTTGTAAAAATGTGAGTCTTCTTTTTTTTTTTTTTCTTTTTTGGAAACATTGACCCGCTTGGGACACTTCCGTCATTACTCCTCCTTAGGTCTCAATACCTAGGCCGGTGGGAGACACGGGAATCAGAAGGATTGCATGGAAAAGAGTAAAAAACCTAAGGAGCCCTTAAACTATCACCGTTGTCAAGTTTTGGTCCCCGATCTAATTTTTGTCTCCGATAAGCCCCTAAACAATAAAAAATGCATAGTTTAAATGCTTCCGGTCATTTTATGTATGAGTCAAGCCGGAAGCAAATGGCATTATTGTGGGTTGTTGCCCCTCTCTGCAACTACGCTGCCGATGATTTCAATACATCCACAAAAACCCTAAATCCTAAATCCTTGTAATCAGAAGCTTCGATGATATCTGCCTCTTCCAAATTAAGTCAGATTCTGAGCTAGCTCGTATCTTGGCTCGGCAAAATCTCCCAATGGCGGTTTTTGCAGCCACAGC